CACTGGACGAAGACCCCAGGGCACGCTGGCAGGACTATGCCGCTCGGCTGGTCTGGAAATGCCTGAGAATTTCCTAGGAAAAGCTAGAGTCTGTCACCAGGGAAAGGGAGGTCTGAACCGCCCTACTCAACACGCTGCCGCCGCGACCCTCACGAGATTGAGAAATGAACGAAAGAATAAATGCCTCCAACTACTCAGTAGCATCCTCCACGAGCCTCCTCCATGGAGGCCGATCTTAACACCGCTGGTACCAGTCATCGGCAAGTCCACTTAGCTTCACATCCTTCCATCATGCATCAGTCCATCTTTTCTCCAGCCCATTTGGTGCTCGTTTAACCCCTTCTATGCGGCCAAACAGAAGCTGCTTGGGCATGCAATGGCTAGGCATGCGAGTTATATGACCCAGCCAACGCAGCCTTGCCTGCCGGAGGAGCTCACCAATGGGAATGTGTTCAGATCTTCCAAGGATTTGTGAACTCCTTAAACAATCCAGCTTGGTTAAAACCACGATGGATTGTAGGCAGGCCAGCCTGAATGTTTTTAATTGGCACAGACGTTCAATTAGAGGGGACCACGTTTCACAAGCATAGAGAAGGGAGGGCATGACTGTCGCTCTGTCATGCAGAGCGACAGACCAGGTAGCTTCCACACAGCATTGAACAGCCGATGAAAAGATAATGCCGCCCGACTGAATCGGAGTGAGACCTCTGCTGTCAAACACTCACTTTTAGACACATACACGTCCACGCGGGTGCACACACCATACACCACATACAACTATATTATATAGAACAGTCCGACTTACGAACATCTCACTTACGAACACCTGCACTTATGAACCAGCTTCCACGAAAAAAATAGATTGACTTAAACCGCAAACTCGTACTTGCAAACTGAATGGCGGAACTATTTTGTTCAGCGGAGCAATACTCCATGAGATGTAATGAGTAAGCCTCGCGCTGCGAGTGACTGTGTGTGAAAGTGAGTGTGTGAAAGTGTGAAAATAAGCACGTGAAATTCAGTGTGTGTGTGATGGGGCAGTTGTGCAGAGAGTGGAGAGTTTCCCATACCTGGGCAGTGTGCTCATGACCAGCTCCAGTTTGACAGCAGAGGTCTCACTCCGAATCAGTCGAGCAGCAATATATTTTCATTGGTTGCGTAATGCTGTGTGGAAGCTACCTGGTCTGTCGAAACTTCAGGTTCTAGATTTGAAGCTTTCGTAACTGCAAGGATTCATACTCTTTGGTTCTATTCGGTAAAGGTCACGTAGGTAAAAAAAAAAAATCACGACGTTTCAGCCACAACACAAGCGGCCTTCATCAGGTGAAGGGACCAGACTAACTCGAGAACAGCGCTGGAGTGAACACAGCTAAGCTCAGACCGCGAACTTTAAGCTGTGTGAGAGGAATCAAGGTGCCTTGACAAAGGAATTAGCATAAAAATTAGCATTTAATTGGCGGACTTAGCATGATGAACGGTGTAGAGGGGGTGAACATGTGCAGGTCGGCGAGGGGGGGGAGGTGTGAAAAGGGAAGAAAAGGGAAGCTGCGAAAGTTTGGGGTACCACTACTTGAAAAAAATATACTGTACCATTGAAAATTAGTTTAATGTTTGGTTCGATTTAGAACATCTTTCCAATGGTTACTTAATTTGAAACCATCTTCTCGATTGAAATTGTGTCTGTAAATCTGAATTGCCTCGTGAACAAATCTCTGATAAAAGCCCGTGGGTTTGCAAAGAACCTTGGTATCGGAGAAAATTATATCGTGATCCCCCATAGCGTTGTAACAGTGATCAGCTACGGCAGAAGAATTCGTTCTGCCGTTTCAAATCTGATTTGTGCTCGCGAATTCGGTCAGAGACATGTCGCTTCGTCTCCCCGATATAGCAATCACCGCAGGTACAACTCAATTTGTAAACCCCGGGGTACTGTAAGTCAGGAATGACATCCTTCACGGATGGGATCAGATCACTAATTTTGTGTACTGTATTGAACCGGACCTGGATCTTGTGTTTGTTTAGAATTTTGGAAATCTTTTTAGTAACGCCTGCTATATATGGTAGTGTGATGGTTTTGACTGGAGTATCAAGTGGTTGTTTCTGTATGGAGGGAGAGACAGCTTGGCGGATGGTGCGGTCAGAGTATCCATTCCTTTTGAGGGCCAGGTGTACATGTTTTAATTCACTGGTCAGGTGGTGTTGGTCCGAAATGCAATGAGCCCTATGGTATAAAGTTTTGATGAGATAATTCTTTTGGGCTGGGTGGTGGTGGGAATCAGGTTTCAAGTAGGAATCTGTGTGGGTGGGTTTCCTGTGAGAAATCACTTCGAATGCTATCAATGCGGCAACCGAACATCAACCTCTAGAGCACGACTAAAAGCCACGCCAACGGCCCTTTTCAGGACCGAACGCACCATGAAAATGCATTTATCTCAGCAATTAATCTCAAGGATTCAATATCATGATTAATATTAAATTGAGTAATCAACATATTCTCAGTAATCAATATTATAAATGTTCATGAATCTCAGTGATCATTATCTTTTTAGTATTTAACATCACGATGAAAATCTATTGATCTAATTACCAAACTCGTCTTAGTAATCAATATCCTAATCAGTATTCATTAACATGAGTAATACCTGCGATAACAATTTGGTATCACATGACAGACCAGTCCTCCAGGGTGAAGTATGGAGCAGGGTGTATGGCACGTACAACAAAGCAGGGCAGACGGATTTAAGGGTTAAAGCGATTTATTGCGGCTATCATCGAGTTATGGGAGGTGTGGTTGTGGCAATCAATGCTACGTCCCCAGAAACAGACAAATCCCATGCTGGAAAATACAAAACCCGCACAGACCTAAAGTTCCATCGCAAACCCATATGCACTCTCAGAACAGAACTCCATTAATCGGACTATTGGCCAGGTAGGGTATTCCCCACACATACACACCTCTAGCCCCTACACAAACCCGTACCTCCACACATGCCCCTCACCTCTACACAAACTCGTACCCCCACACACCCCAAGCCCCGAAACGAACCCGCACGGAACGGGGCGTGGCCATTGACAGCCAACGGCACAGGCCTGAGCCACTAACAATGCAGTGAAGGCCTTGCACCATGGCTTTGACTGTATACAAAGTGTTTCTAGCTGGCTGGTTAACCATTCACCTGACACCACAGTGAACTCACAAGTGAACTTTTGATACAGCGGTGAGCACTTATCAGTGAACACACATCACCTCGGTGAACACTCGGCATAGTACTGCTACATTGTGCATTTTAAACAGCAGAGCACGCAAAACAAAGGGTCCCCGTATAGCCTTAACATGCTGTTGGGGAAAGTGTGGTTAACGAGCACCTAAGGCCAGCACGGTACACAGGGCGTGGATGACCAGCACCACACCCGACCACCTTTGTCTCCCCAGTGGCGATGATTTACGCAGTGCACAAGGTACTCATTCGTGGCAAAGTCTATCTAGGCCTGGTTCAGATAATCGCCACTGGTGTTGGGCGTGAGCAGGAATCGAACTCGGGTGACCAGGTTCGTAGTGCAGCGCGCTAATTGCTACACCACTGCTCCCCATGGGCACAGGGCCACACCCACTCCGCCATTGTTTCATTTATCTCATGAATTAATCTTCTTAGTTATCAATATCATGATCATATATTGATCGGTGACCAATATTTATCAGTAATCAATATCATGATCAAGTTATCTCAGCAATAATCAGGAATCAATGTCAATATTTATTGATTTCAGCAATTTTCAGGAATCAATAGCATTAACATTCAGGAATTGCAGTAATTATAAATATGTATTTATTTAAGTAATTAAGGTTCTTAGCAATGAATGACCAATATTCAATATCAGGTTCCCATTCTACTCTGCATTCAATGTCAATATACATTTTTCATCATTATCATTAATATGTATTGATATCAATAATTCATATTTTAGGGTAATGGGTCACACAAAGACAAACACCGACATACAGCCTGACAGTTGGGGCAAGTGCTGTTAGCAACACCACCTATGAAGGCCAGCACGGCACACGAGGGGGTGGGTGGCCAGCACCACGCCCGGCCGCCTTTGCCTCCCCAGTGGCAATGTTTACACATTGCACCAGGTACTCATGAGGCTGAGTCGACCCCAAGGTCCAGGACCAGTTCATTTAATCGCCACTGGTCTTGGCCGTGAGTAGGAATCGAGCTAGGGTCACTGGGTTCGTATCGCAGCTCGCTAACCGTGACACTACCACTCACCATCTCACCCACTCACACGGCCACTGTCACTCACTCACCCACTCAATCACAAAGCCAATCAGTCACACCCACTCAAAGGGAAAATATATAATACCGTATGTGGTTGTGCCCTGAAGAAGGGCCATTGCCCAAAACCTATTATATATATTATTGTGAGTGGGTGGGTCGGTGAGCGACTGGGTGAGTAGGTGTTGGTGATTGACTGGGTAAGTAGGTGTGGCTGATTGACTGTGGGCTTGTGCGTGGGTGAGTGTGTGAGTGACTGAGTGGGTGTGTTCCAGACAGCAAAAACACAAAGTTGGCACAGTTGGAACATCTGCCAGTCATCTCAGTCAGTCACCCCATGGCACCTGGGTCTGTCCCTTGACCTCCTGCCAGCAACCCTTTGACAGTTCACATGGCCTCAAAGTGCAACTTGCCTGGCACAAGCGTCGTGGTGATGTCACCGCCACTTAGTGGCAAATGGCGGTTGTGCGAGTGTGAGTGACTGAGTGTGTGTGGATTTGTGGGTGAGTAACCGAGTTGGTGTGATTGAGTGACCGAGTGGGTGAGTAAGTGTGACCCGAAGTAGATCCATTGCCCAAAACGTTGCCTGTAGCTGTGCATCGCCGCTAGTGATTGGTGTGGAGGAGGAGGAGCCTCTGGCTGAGGCAGTGATTCTGGGCCACCAGGTGCTCAATGACATCACCCTGGTACTCAACGAGCTCCCTCACACCCATAGACCTGCAGACACACATAGGGATTGTTAGAGATATATTGCAAGTTAGAGATACACAGAGATATACAGACTATAAGATATATCACATACACAAACCTGCATGAAAATGCTCAGAAAACACCTTGGGTTTGGAGATCAGATCACCATTCTTTCCCTTAAGGATGGTGAAAGGCATGGCTCTTCAAGTTACTCTTTTGATGGAATTCAAGAGTTAATTGTGATCGCAAAGTGCTGAGGCAGTTTCCATCTCCTCGGCTTCAACCCACAAACACCAGTCATCCGTGCAACGCCACACAGCTGTCCTGGCCCTCTGAAGGCTGCCGTAAGCCTCCTTATTCTCCATTGTAGGATGTTGCACACAGTGGGAATGGGCCCACCATTTACTCTCAGCTATCTGGGGAACACTTCCTCTATGAGCAAGGGTCTATGAGGAGGTCTGGACTGTGTACCAAACGCACCCATTTCCCCTTGGAATCAGGAGGGGTGTACGATGCCAACCCCACCTGGAAGTGATAATGAAATTCTTGCTTGCAACTCTCATTAGCGAGTGGAGACCAGGCCACTGTGGGTTTGAAAGGGGTCCTAGGTGGACGCCCACCACAGCAGTGGAGGAATGGCAGGCGCATCTTAGAGATGATAAGCCGATGGTCAGTGGGCAGATCGGCTCCACGGTTGAAGCCGATTCCCGTCAGGGCCACGGAACGTGATGCTCCACCGTCTTACTTCCCCTAACCACTACTCATTAGCCTCACTCTTTTTTCTACATCTGGGAGAGGGCTGCAGCTTTTTATCCACCAGCTAAAGTAAAAATATAGATATTTTACGTACAGAGCCTCCAGAGAAACACCATACATCTCTTGCCATCTCTTCACTCTTCTTGTGCCCTTTCCTTCTATCATGGTTTTGTATTCAAGTTTTATTCTCCTTTCCCTGCACGATAGAAATAATTAAATGCATTCAGACTGCACAATTCGTAAAGCTATCACCCCAACCGTTGGGAAAGAACCATCTGAGGACCCAATCAAAACCATCACCTTGCCATACATAGCAGGGGTCACCAAAATGATTTCCAAACTCAAGAGCAAACACAAGATCCAATCTTGATTTGAAGCTTTTGAGACTGCAGGAATCCATACTCTTTGGTTCTTTCGGTAAAGTCACGTAGGTAGAAAATAAGCGGTCGTCCTCAGGTGGAAAAAATATAATCCAGCAGTGGAACTGCTGAACCAGGTTCGATTCAACACAGTACATAAAATTCGTGATCTGATCCCATCTGTGAAGGATGTGATCCCTGACATGCAATACCCCGGTGTCTACAAACTAAGCTGTGTCAGCGGCAGTAGTTACATTGGGCAGTAGTTACATTGGGGAAACTAAGCGATATGTCTCGGACCGTGTTTGTTAACATAATGCAGATCTCAAACACGGTAGGACCAATACCTCAGCTGCTTTAATGCTGTGGGCACACAAGAAATAGATTTTTCCAAGACGAAGATACTCTGCAAACCCACTGGCTATCAGCAAAGATTCGTTCATGAAGCCATCCAGATATATAAACACAGACACAACTTCAACCAAGAAGATGGGTATAAACTGAGCAGTCATTGGGATGACGTTATTAACCAGGTAAAGTCATAACTTCCTGTGATGTTTCCATCCTACTTGCCGATGTTAGCACTTATTTTCGACTCTGAGTTATATTACCAGGTTAAATGTCTTTACATTAACAGGCTAAATGTCTCACTAACACAACCACCATTGCTCGTAGGCCTCGATGTGGTGTTGGTTTTCCTACATTAACATGCTAATCTCTCACAATACATTGGCCACCTCCGCTTCGTCTTTCTTACATTGACATGCTAATATCTCACCTCCACAGCTTCGTCATCAAGGAGGATCTGAGCTCTCTGATCTTACATTTACATGCAGATTTCAACTCTAGCCCTGCCCACTTCACTTATGACCCTTGGGCTACACCCATCTCAAACCTTTATAACACCCTGCCACAGCAGTGCTCCCGCTATAAAACATTTTCGTGCCTCAGTACCTCTCCCGCTATTTTTTCACCTGATGATGATTGCCTGTGTTGCGATCGAAACGTCGTGGTATTTTATTATTATTTTTCTATCTACGTGGCTTTACCGAAAGACCCAAAGAATATAATTAAATGCAGTATACCTCGCGGTTACTGTATAATTACTTTAGGTATAATCCCACATGGCGCCCAAGCGCTCACTTCGACGTTGTAAATGCGGGATTTAAATCCCCAGTGCCAACTCCCATACACGTTGTTGTACGTATCTATGATTAATATTGAACTTCCTTTGCACCGTATGAAGCCAACCGTGCTTATCAAAGGTTCAAGGGAAGGACAAACTCAACACAAAAAGCAGTTATAAAGAAATTAGTTTCCAATCTAGATTTACAAGTGCATAGAAAATGGAATTGCTCACAGCCACCATTGTTACTGATGGCAATCAACAGCAAGGAGGTGGGGGTTTTTTTTCGCAGTCGGCGATATACACACAAACACACTTAGAGAGGGCAGACATAATCTCACTTGGTGGTGCCGGCTGTGGAGGACGCTGTTTCTTTCTCGATGATGTCGGATTGCGGGGTCGATTTGTTGAATCTAACAACTCGCACTGACAACATCATCAGCATCATCATCAGCAGCATCATCTCCTTCTCTCCACGTCTGCGTCTCTCTCTTCTTGTCTCTCTTCTATGTCTCTGTGTTCCTCTCTCTCCAAATGTCTCCCTCACCTTTGCTTTCCCCGAGTCTCCCTCTCTCCTCATGCCTCTCTCCATGCCCCTATTTGTCTCCCTCCCTCTCTCTATCTCCGTGTCTCTTGGTGGGCTGCAGGTGGCATAGTGGTAAGACTGGCGCCTCACAACAAGAATTTCCTCGGTTCAATTCCTGACTCGGACACCTATGGTGGAGTTTGTGTGTTATCCCCCTGTTCTGCAGAGTGAGTGACAGTGATCGTATTGAGCGAGTGAATGCATGCAAGTGGAGAATGTATTCACTCCTCATGTTCTGAATGTATTTCCTCCGGGTTTTATAGTTTCCTCCTTTCATAGCTAAACACACACAGTGGCACTCGTATTCGCCAAACCACACCCAATTACTCAATTTGGATCACACACAGCAGCAGCGTCGCCCCTAACTGTGAATACATGGCAGGATCCTCCTGAGTCAGTCTTGAGAATCAGAGACTGTTCTGGGTAAACAAGCTTAAACAATATCAAACAACAACTGCGCTCTGTCTCTCCCCCCGTGTCTCCCCCACGTCTGCGTTTCTCTCTCCCCGTGTCTCTCCTTCTCTTCCTGTGTCTCTCCTTCTCTTCCAGTGTCTCTCCTTCTCTTCCCGTGTCTCTCCCTCTCTCCCCGTGTCTCTCCCTCTCTCCCCGTGTCTCTCCCTCTCTCCCCGTGTCTCTCCCTCTCTCCCCGTGTCTCTCCCTCTCTCCCCGTGTCTCTCCCCGTGTCTCTCCCTCTCTCCCCGTGTCTCTCCCTCTCTCCCCGTGTCTCTCCCTCTCTCCCCGTGTCTCTCCTTCTCTCCCTCTCTCCCCGTGTCTCTCCCTCTCTCCCCGTGTCTCTCACCGTGTCGGTATTTTTCTCCCTGTGTTTCTCTCCCCATGTTGTTTTTCTCTCCGTGTCTCCCTGCGTGTCACTTACCCACATATGCGATGAGAAACGGAGAAAGGAGGAGGAATTCTGCACAAATAATCCCGACCCACATCCAGAGCCAAAATCTCTCTCCTCCAATTCCCCCCCATGTCTCCGGGTCTTCTACTTGCTTCTCCGTTGCACAGATTGTCAGCAGAAGAGCGTTACCTAAAAAAATCAACAATATAATGAATGTGTGTATCGCTATTTCTACCTCCTCTAATCGGTGTTGAGGATTATAATGGCCATGTCTCTGTCTCCGACTCTCTGCCTGTGTCGCTCGTTCCATCCGCTCCTCCCCATGTCTCCCTGTGTGTGTGTGCGTATGGGGATCGGTGGCGCAGCGAACCCGGCAACCCAGGTTCGATTCACTCTCTCGGCCAACACCAGTTACGATTATACAAACCGGTCCTAGGCCTCCCCTAGGTCAAATCAGCCTCAAATGAGTACCTGGTGTCATGTGTAAACATCGCCATTAGGGACAAAGGCGGTCGAGTGTGGTGTTGGCCACCCATTCCCTCATGTGCTGTGCCGGCCTTAGGAGGTACTCGCTAACAGCACTTGAACCTTATGGCGGGACCCCGGGGTCCCGAATAAACGGAAGTCAAAATCGTAATTAATAAAAGAATTTTCTGCGACTCCGTCCCACCGCTCACATAAACTCCGCGACCCACCAGAAATCAATCCTCTCGTTCTTCACCAAGCACCCGTCGTTGCCAAAATTGCCGTAGTTATAAATAAAACTTTGAAACGTGTATTAGCGCATCGTGTAGAGCTCGTCAAGAGGAATCGATTGCCGTATCGCCTTCAACAGACATAAAATAATGTCGCAATGCAGTTTATGCAATAGCCGGGGTCTTATAGGACCCCGGGGTCCCACCACAAAGTTCACTTGCCCCAATAGTTGGTGGTGCAGTGGTCAACACTGCGCTATGGAACCTGGTGACCCAAGTTCGATTCCTGCTCACGAGCAATAAAAGTGGCTAATATTTGAACTGGTCTTTGGCCTCCCCTAGGTTGACTCAACCTTAAATAAGTAGCTGATGTGGTGTGTGATCATCAGCACTTGGGAAGGCAAAGGCAACAAGGTGCAGTGCTGACCATGCACCCCCCTGCCCCAACAGTCTGTTGGGTCAGGTGGTCACTCTGGCCCTGTGCTGCCATCATCAGTCGTGAGTGGTGGCCTGCCATCCCGTCTCCAAGCAGGGCTCCTCTACCCGGTACCACCTGTCCCTATGCTGCTGTGGCCTCTGGTCACTCGCGCTGCCGGCCCAAGAGAGTGCCCGTGGCCAGCCGGGAGCCATACCTTGGGCTGCCCTGTGCTGCCACCAGTCAACGCTCGCTGCAGCAGGATTGCTACCATCGGCAGTTCTCCGCCACCGGCAATGTTCACCTTCGCCCTTCTGGCGAGTTCGACTATCATCAGCAGTTTGTCGCCTCCACCAGCCGATCGGCTGTGGCACGATACGACCCGAGGTAGCTCCCCGCACCCACCGGCTGCGCACCTGAAGGTCACCTAACCCCAGTCGTCCACGACTCCTCGTTGGCATTCATCCCCACCCCGGTCCCGTGGTCACAAGGACATTCCTACCAGTTGCACTCTTGTCTACCCTGGTCTCTCCTCACCAACCCTGCTCCACTCAGGGCAAAGATTGGCAGCCTGGTAATGTGTCACCGGAACATAGCTGTGTTTGCAGCGGTGGGCAATAAACTTTTGCCTTCGCACTGCTTCCCCCGTCGCTGCAAACCCATAAATCTTCACTATAAACAACTCCGTCAATCCTGCTGCAAACCAAGCATCGCAATCAGCTTACCAAATGCCCAATCCACTGTGAGCGACATGCTAGTACCCGTTAGTGACACGCTAGATTTTGTTAGCGACACGCTAGTGCCCGTTAGGGACCCACTAGTACCCGCTAAACACCAAACTGGCAGACTCCCCTCTCTCTCGACACCTGGTAGCTCTCAGCAGCTACAGCTGTTGCATCAAAGTGCAGCAGATGCCGATTGCTGACTACTTGCGCTCTAGACTTGGAACCGATCGCACTTTGCATCGTCTTGCTGGCAAAGCCACCAACAAACCCATCAAGGCCTCACATGCATTATTTATTTACGAACGCATGAACTCTGAAGCCAACCAGACGTCAACAACTCTAGTCCACACTTACTGCCCTCCTCCATCAATACCAGCAGGCGGCTTTGCATGATAACCTGGTTGACTCGTCACCCTTACATATTAAATGACAAATTCACCTGCATCAATTTCACCATCAGGAAATCTCTCTCGACCTACCGTGATCACCCACAGCCAATCCTTCGTTCCAGTCTCTCCTCACAGATGTTCCACTCCAAGGAGGGCCTCATCCTGATCCAAAGGTCCACAATAAGTCTCCCATCGATCTCCTACCAGACAGTGATTTCAAGCACTGCACTGGTGAACTTGCAAGAATGGTTTCTCATGTTGGTAACCCCTCTTTCCAGTCCAGTCTTTGGCCTCCATCACTTAGATTGAGGCAAGTGATACTTCTACTAAAAGGTCTGACCACGAGGACCATAAAAACTAGAGACTCATTATTGACTGATAAACCATCTCCAAATTCCTGGAACGCCTATCCTTTGTTATAATCTAAAATCACATCCCCTCATCCCCCAACATTTATCTCATCTTATATATACTTATATAGAGCGTCTTCAGTGAAGGCGCTTTCAGTGAAGGCGCTTGTCATAATTAAAAAAATTACAGAATATATTTTTTTAGGATCACATGAGTGTGCAAGGATTGAGGAATGAGTGACTGCGATAGATGATACTAAGGGATGACAAAAGGCTATGGGAGGTACAGGAAGAAGTGGAGTGGTGAAGGGAATGAAGATAATGGACACTACAGAAGTGGTGAGGCGTTAGAAGAACAGGAGATTCCGGTTAATTGGAAGAACCACCCACATGGAAGCAGTGGTATAGTATGCTCCTAGCACATGTGGGTATGGAGCACCTAAATCATAAGCTTCAGGGCAAGGGGGGGGGAATATGAGGCCAGATGGTCCCTTAAACATCTGAAATAAGTTAGCCAGATGGCGGGTTGGGAGACAGGGGCCGATGATAAAAAGTACAACCCCTATGTATTAGACGGGAGAAGGACTCGGATGGGTGGCGGAAAAATACGATCACTGTTTCGGCACCTCTTTTTTCGGGCGCTTTGGTTCCTTCCCTTTTCACCCCCTCTCCCTTACTTAAATGCTTACCTTACCCCTCCCCAGTGGCACCCCGTCTTGTTTGGGCCAGCAGGCCCGCTCCCCATCTTTCTACCCCCTGATTTCTATAACCGGTTTAGCTCACGTCGAAGGTTCGAACACGCAACACAACGTGATGTAATGGGCAAGCGCATTGCCTCAATAAAAAAATGAACAGGAGATGAAGGAGGGGGAAACTTTAATGAACAAGGGAAGTTTATTCCAGTGGAGGAGTGCAAGGAGGGAGGACTGAAACTAGGATTGGGCACAGTGAGAAGTGACAAGGAGATGAGAGAGGCGAGATGAGGTGCGGCAAGGCCATGGAGACATTTAATGATGGCATCATCTATTTCAAAAGTCTGCCTACTGCCCAGCCCACACCACCTACCAGGACTGCACTCATCAAGATCAATGACATGTCAGCCTCAACATAACTGACAATTTTGTCACTTTAAACCACAAGAGTTTGATTGAATGCACAGCTCTCAGTGTTTAAAAGTCCTCAACACAGTCACTACACCTACTGCCAGCATCCCTCAGGGCTGTCCTGGGTCCTTCACATTTTTTGTTCTACATCTCCCCAAACGGTCACCACATTGATAGTCACGGGATAAGCTATCACACCTACGCTGTTGACGATCCATTCCACTCCACTACAAACTCCGATCAGGGTCCACTCAACCTTGCCAATTGTACCTCCAACTTACTGCGCTGGTTATGGTCAAATTACTTTCTATTAAACCCTTAAAAGTATGTAGCCCTTGTTCTAGGCAACAGACGGTGGCTCACTATGGTGTCGCTCCCTCAAAATCAACCATCACTGGCTCCACCATTAAATTACTTGAAAATCGTCGGTATCACCTTGAAACTCCTCATTCTCACTCGAAACCCACGTCCCCAACACAGCAAAGACATGGAATGACCACCTCAGGGCCTCATGGTACATCCGCCCAATGCTGCCCTCAGCCACAGCAAACAATCTGGCTTGTTGCATTATCAGCACTCTCCTTGATTATTTCAATGCTATCCTTACTCTGGGACATCAGAAAAATAAACACTTTGATGAAGTAAAGCAGCTTCAAAACCACTTGTCTCATGCTGCCCTGCACATCAAATGCGGCCATGACTTCCATGGCTTCACTTAAAAGCTCGGCACTGGCTCCCCATCAAATCATGGATCCAATACAATCACCATCCTCTGCCACCGAGCTCTTATTCAAGATCTCCATTTCATACCTCTCCACCCTTCTCACCCCACTGACCACAGCAAACCGCTGCATCATATGTAGCACATCTAACATTCTGCTTATCACTACTGCCACGACCAGTACTGTCCTGGCTGAGCAGCTTTTCTCTGTGGCTGCACCAGCCACAGCATCCCTTTGTAAAGGACTCAGTGATTCAGCCAATTAGCAATTCACTGTCCCTTTGGGTGCTCATGTACCAGGAAGAGCAATAAATAGTAGAAAAATAAATCAGGAGGCATTCCACAACGTCCCTACACAAGCACCATCCATCTTAAAACAACAGCTCACCTGCTGGCAGGCTCAACTGGTCAGGCTGGCATACGAGGTACTTTGAGCTCTGGCTCTGCATGTCTGATCTCTCAATGGAACAAATGCATGATTTGTGAAATATAAGCGAGTTATCCATAACAGGTTTTTTTTAGGGTTAGATTGCATAAATATATACACATGTCATCAAACCCGCCAACACCCGACACAGCCAATTAGTAAGGTTTGTCACGTAAACAGCACATGCCAATTCGTTACTAGTACAGCACACCAGTGTGTTTGGAGAGCAAAGCTACAACAGTTACTTATATTCATCTGAGTACAACCTTTCGCCAGTAATTAGATCAGGCGACAGCCAGATTTGTGGAGAAATCCTCCTGTTTCGTTACTTAGAGAGGGGTAGATGTGATGACAACACTTGTGTGTTCTTCTTGCTCTCAACCCAGCCGCTCTCTCTTCCTCCCAGGTTTAACTGCCTCTTAACAACACTACCACCCCCTTTTATCTGCCCTTCAACTCCATGAACTGCCTTAAAACGTCCATTCAACTCCCTTCACTGACTGTCTCTTGATCACACTGTCTAAAAAATATTTTTATTTTACCAGGTAAAGCTCACCGAGCCATTTAGCTCTTTTTCAGAATCGAACTGGCTACAAATGATAGCTCAATGAAGTGGGTTATTACATGGAAATTGATAGCAGCAAAATTTACTGTCCATCAACTAAATTTCAAGAGCCTATCAGATGGCCTCAACCAAAAAGTTATGGGAAGTAGACCCCCCCCCCTCCCAGATGTGGGGGTAAAAAGTGAATCCAAATCAAGATTGATCCAACAGGTTTACAAAAATTGTCAACCTCCCTCCAAAAAAAGTTTCACCCCCATTTTTTTTTAGGCATATATACCCACACAACCTCCATAGGAGGTAGAATAAGGCGGCCATAGGCCGCCAAAATCATAGTGTTTCTAAATTTGGAGGGAAAAACCAGAGGACCCGGAAAAAAATTCACACGACCAGGAGGAGAACATGCAAACTCTAAATATACAGATGTCAGGATCGGGATCGAACCCATGACCTGCTGTATACCGAGCGAGGTAGTTAACTAGTCACACGCACGAGCTGCAGGGATTCGGGAATCTGTCCACCCAGTGGTGCTGTGAGCATTTACATTCAGCATCACGAGTAGGAAGTCTCATCCCTGTAGTTGCCTGTTGTGGCGCCATATCCTTTTACTGTCTAGCCCCTCAATTCCCTTATACATTAGGCAATATCTCCATAAAAATTGTTCAACTCCATCTTTACTCTTCCTATGAGAGGGAGAGATATACATGGGGTGAGAGACCCAGGGAGAGAGAAAGAGACAACTGGAGAGAGACAGGATCAGAATCTTTATTTATATTGGAGGAATGCAATGCGCTAAAAAGCTATTTTTCATAGATTTCCAGTAGGGGCAGGTCAGTAAGTTACAACACAGAGTGAAAGAGACAAACACACAGGGAGAACGATAGAAATAGAGCTATAGATAAAGCAAGACATGGGGAGAGGCATGGAATCCCACCTGTGTTGAGGATCATAAAGGCAGTGTCTCTATATCCCCATGTCTCTGTGTCTCACCTGTGTTGAATATCATCATGGCCGTGTCTCTGTGTCTCCGTGTCTTCCTCTCCCATCTCAGGTGCCCTTGAGCGCGAGCCCAGCTGAGTGAGCAATGGACGTTCCACGCAGAGAAGGAGTGGATCAGATAGAGAGCGATCCGCCCAAACGCGATCCAGCGACTGACTCGGAGCTCGGAGGCCAACGGAGACAGAGACGCCCAGAGAAGGAGACAGACAGCGGCCAGCTAGAGACACAGAGAGAGACATGGGGAGAGAGTCAATGATCGGATGTTGTCCGTTGCGTCCACCGGGGTGAGTGGACTATGGCGACGCCATATACAGCACCCGGCCCAGACACCGAGCTGCAAGTCGCAGTTGGCCAGCGTCTCCTCTCTGGTTCTTGCGAGATGTGACCCGGCAGGTCGGTTAGTCTCTGTCCCAGGGTCTGGGACCACACGGACTGCCGCATAACGGAAGCTCCACACATGGATCCGTTCAAGAATTCTCAAGGGCAAGGTCACAACTCTCCGTCCATCTCTTTCCCAAACCTCTTCAAAACAGCTGCAGGGGGAGCCGTCTTCCTTGACCATCGTGACAGTGGATGGGCCACATTTACTCTGCAGGAAGCTGAAGTGGCTTTAAAGGAGGGGTAGTGGTTGGTGTGCTGCTTGGTCCTCTTCAGCTTCATCAGAGAGAACGTTTCATGATCAGCCCTGGCTTTCGCTCAGATTTGTCAACATTCGACATTCTGCCATGTCGCACACACGACGGCGTGCACCAGACTCTTTGCCTGACGACATCAACAGCCGAGGTGTCCTCCTCGTCTCCATTGGCTGCATGTCTGGCCAGCTTCCTGATGATAATCCACGTTTCCTCCTCTGTTGTCTGGGAAAAAAATAAGGATCACCTGGCTCTGACAATCCTCAAAGACACTAGCGCAACCATCAACCGCATCTGAAAATCAACAGGAAAATCAGAGACAAGCCACAGTAGTGCGGTTGTGGCCATACAACCCAAACTATGGACCAGATAGTAAACCGACTGTAGCCTGCACTACAGGCAACCCCCGCACCTACGACCTAATTGGTTCCTGGACGATGGTCGCAAGTCAAACCCGTCGTAAGTCGAACCCTTATTTCCCATAGGAGCAATGTTATAAATTGGGTTCCTTCTTAGGAACCCATTACATACCATAAAAAAATGTACCAAGAAAATAACTCTAAAAAAAACCTTTATTGTAACTGAACAAAACTTTTCCAAACATTTATCAAGTAAAAATAAGAAAAATGTTTCTGCACGTGCATCACATATCCTGTTGTCAGACATAGCGAAAGGCAATTTTTTTTAAATTTTATGAAAATTTACTAAAAAGTAAAGAGCGTTGCGTTGGAGATGCGTTTGCTCTATGCACAGCTGCAGACTGTCTGACTATACTGTACATACCCATACGACAGAAGAGCAAAGTAGCGCCATCTGGCGACGAGTTTGTGCATGTTATGCACAGACTCCTCGCGAATCGACTCGCCATTGGTAGCAGTCATTAGGCGGTCGTAAATATGATTTGTAGTCGTTACTGTGGGTGTCTTACTTACTATAAGAAAGGTCGTTAAAGCAGAGGATTGTAAGTCGAGCCGTCGTAAGTCACCTGTACTAAACGGAGGAGGATCAGTTAGCAGAGCCCATCATTGGCATCCAGCTTTTGAACGTACAACCAGGCACAAGAACAGAACCCAAAAGGTTCTCAACCGCTCAGGATCCTGTCTGTACAGACGCATCGTCTTGAGATAGCGGGTTCCATCGCATCGTAGGGAGATATCATGTGATCTGAGGAATGAGCGCAACTGGTGATCAGCTATGAAGGTGGTCCCACTGCCCAAAACGTCACCTGTTGTTTACAAGTCCTCTAAAGGACGCAGTGCTGTGATTGACGAAGGTGTCAAGTTTTTTTTGCTCTGCTGGCGGTGATCGGTATTTCCTGGTGCTGCGAGACAGCGTTTTCGATCACGGGGTGAGAGAAACGTGGTCCCTTTCTTCAACGGTGGACATCGGCGTTCGATATTCGGGTCCGATGGTGAACGTCCAAGACATGGGAAGGAGCCCGTGGCAGACAGGCCCCATCAACGCAGTTCGAGAGAAGCGGGATTTTCACGATCGGCACGATAGCACCAAAGGGGCCGACGAAAGACTCAAGAGCCTGAACAGCGTTCACATCGCCTGGCACTATCGCGGAAACGTACAATGGAATCGGCTGAGACGGAAGGAGCAGCCGAGCCATGAATCCATTCTCCCTGCTCTGTGCTAGCGTCCACAGGTGGTGCGCAAGCAACAATGGCCGATGATAGAGGATAAGGGAGAGATACCCGCGTCTGTGCCACAGCCTGGCATCGGCGCAGACGAGGCGGAGGAGATGTGGCTAAAGCAAGTGGTGAGCGCTGCACTTCCAGTGGGGGTCTGATCACAAGAGGAACCCTTAAAACATGGCCCCCGTCAACTCAGGAGCACTGGCAGGGAGTGATAGACACGGGGAGAGAGTGATACATGGGGAGAGTGAGACACAGAGTGAGACACGGAGAGCAAGAGACATGGGGAGAGAGACATGGGAAGATAGCGAGAGACACGGGGAGAGCCATGGGGAGAGCGATACACGGGTAGAGCAAGAGACATGGAGAGAGAGATATGGGAACACATGGGGAGAGATACACGGGGATAGCGAGACACGAGGAGAGCAAGAGACACGGGGAGAGTGTGAGACAGGGGAGAAAGGCACAGGAGAGCGAGAGGCACAGGAAAGCGAGAGACACGGCGAGAGACAGGGAGAGAGACAACCGTTGCACATGTAGACGTGCGCACAAACACTCACGTGTATAACCGTTGTCACGAAGACTGTATAATGAGACTTGATTGATGTTGTCTCTGGTCTCCGAGTCACCAGCTCCTCCTCCTCCTGTCACAAAACAAATATCACCAAAGTAGCCTCAAAACTAATTACTTGATGCATTGGCAGTGGTGCACAAACACAACAAACAAAACTGCAATACATTCGTGGCCTTAAAATTAACAAATGTATAACAAGCGACGTTTCAGGCAATGGCCCTTGGCCCTTCTTCATAGTACAGTGGAAGGTGAATTAAATGAACATGAGTGGAAAAGTGACTTTCGTGAGTGGGTGAGTAGACAGCCGTGGCACAGCTGACTGCACTACGAACCTGTAAACCCAAATTAGATTCGCACAAACACACACAACGCTTCCCCATGTAGCCTGAAAGACGATGTTGGGGTAAGTGCAGTTACGGAGCACTGATGTAGGCTGGCACCGCACACGAAGTAGTGGCTGAGCACTCAGCCTTAGTCTCCCAAGTGGTGATGTTTACACACTGCACCAGGCACTCATTTGGCACAAAAACTGACACCTTTATTCAAGGCATCATGTTTGCAATAACCACAACACAAGCAGTCAAAATGCAAACAAAAGAGACAACTCTGATAATAATATGCACTGTGCCAGTTAAAAGGGTAAAACCTATTACTATATCTTGTTACTGGCAAAGGAGGTCTCATAATGTAAAAGTCATTTGAGGTTGTAGACCTAGGGGAGCCCCAGGACTGGTTTGGATATCTGCTGCCACTGTTGTTCGAGAGCAGTAACTGCTGAGTTTCTAGCGCAGTGCAGCACTATCCCCTGCACCACCTCTCCCCACACAGACTCCCACAGAGACAACCACCATTCGCCACTAAGTGGCGGTGGCATCACCGCGGTGCCTGTGCCAGGCTATGTGCACTTTAAGGCCACGTGAAGTGTCCAACGCTCACTGGCAGGAGATCACGCAACAAACCCAGGGGTGCCATGGGTTGACTGAGATAACTAGAAGATGCAACAACTGTGCCCCCTACTGTGCCAAACTTGCTGTGTTTTAGCCAACCGGCACTCTGCTTGTTGTTGTGAGTGTTGCTCCTCAGCCATCCCCTGTTGTTGGAGGGCAACTGCCCCCAACTGACCAGCAGCATCCTTCATGAGCCTCCTCCAGACGCCAATCTTGACACTTTTGGTACCGGTCATCAGCAAGTCCTCTCAGCTCTATATCCTCATTATAACATCATTCCATCTATATGAATAGGTTTACCCTTTCTGGTCATAAAACAGGTGTAAAGATGTTAAAACACCAAACTGAAACCTTTTGCAAGGAATCATGTCTGCAATAACCACATATATGTGTGGTGAACATGAAAACAAAAAAAACATGTTCTGGTAGTATTTTAATACCTGTTTAATTGCCAGAAAGGGTAAAACCCATTCTCATATTTTGATACTGGAGAGTTCCCATGATCATTCCATCTCTTCTCTAGGCCGTGCCATGCCAGTTTAGCCACCTTAATCCAGCCAAGCAAAAGTGTTTGGGCATGAGGTGGCTGGGCATGTGAGCTACATGACCCAGCCAATGCAGCCTGCCTGCCGGAGGAGCTCACCAATAAGACTGTGTCCAGATCTTTCAAGGATTTGCGAGCTCCTCACACAATCCAGTCTGGTTAAACCAAGAATGGATCATTGGCAGGCAAGCCTAAATGTTTATAACCGGCAAAGATGTTCCATTCCGGGGGTCCACGTTTATCGCAAGCATATAGAAGGCAAGGCATAATTGGCCAAGAACACCCAAAGCTTTGTGTGGGGAAACAGACCAGGTAGCTTCCACACAGCGTTACGCAGCCGTTGAGGTTGTTTAAGAGGTTTGGTGCTGCAGATGACAAAGATCTATCCAACCACGTGGTTTTATGTTTGGTTGTTGGTGGTTGGAAAAGTGTTTTTGGGGTGTGGAGCGAAGTGATCCGTTGTTTTGCTTGAACTGTATGAGGTTTCTGATATAAGGTGCAGCTTGTCTGTATTGCACTACATTCTGGGGCACCTTGGTAGCGAGATGTTCACTACCTCGCCTGCAGGTCGTGGGTTCGATCTCAACCCTGATGCCTGCATATTTGGAGTTTTGCGTGTCTCTCTCCCTGAGGTTCCGTGGATTTTTCTACATATCCTCAATTTTTTCCCTTAGCATTTAGAAACAACTTGCATTTAGAGTATTTGGCTTATATGAATGTTCACGTGATAAGCCACTTCGTTGAGCTATCATTTGTGGCAAGGTCACTCTGGAAAAAAGAACTATTTAGCTAAGTGGACCTTACTTGGTAAAATAAAAAAAAAGTTTCGTTTTGGTCCTGACTCCTCAAGGAAAAATACATGGACAAGGTGTCCATCAATATATAAAAGTTACTCTTCAGTGGTCAGAACGAGAAAAATATAATATTTTTCATTGACTATTCAAATTAAATGACAGTCACCACTCAGTACGAGTTAATATGGTAAAAACTGCACCCACTCATGTGATTATCTGTCACACAATGAATAACTCGTAACATGAAAGATCTTTAGACTTCCAGCTAAATGCCTAACTGCTTGATATGTTACAACCTGTTCACAGATATCTGCCTGGTAAGATACTGCCTGTAAATGTCTCCCTTTAATTCCATTGTCTCCCAGTGTCTTCCTGTATCCTCCATGGTCTCTCAATGTATCCTTGTATGATGTTGTCTCTCAGTGTCTCCCCGTGTCTCCCAGAATCTACCCGTCTCTTCCTGTGCCAGTGTCTCCCTGTATCTCCTTCCATCTCTCATTGTCTCAGTATCTTAAATTGTCTCTCAGTGTCTCCCTGTATCTCTCAGCATCTCCCCGAGTCTCTCAGCATCTTCTAATGTATGTCAGTCTCCCAGTATCTTCCTGTATCGCTCAGTGTCTGACACTCCTGAGGTGTCACTACACCCTAGTGACTGAGTGGGTGAGTGGATGGGTGAGTAGGTATAAGTAGGTGAGTGACAGGGAATTGGTTGAGGGAATTTGAGTGGGTGATGTCACAACGGCGCTTGTACCAGGATAGGTGCACCGTGAGGCTAGTCGTATTGTTTTAAGCCATCAGCAACAACTCATCCAGCAGTGGACAGACCCTGGCTGCGTGGCCTCACCTCTTTGTAATCGCCGTGTTGTGACATCGCGGGGGAGGAGGAGGCGGTGAGTGAGCCGAGGTCACCACAGTTCCATTCCCTTTCACGGAGAGAGTCTTAGTCCTGCACAGAAAAAAATCCCCTGTATAGCCCCACTGGTGGGACAAGTGCTGTTAGCGAGTAGCAGCACCTATGAAGGCCGGCACGGCACCTAGCCTGGCACAAGCGCCGTTGTGATGTCACCATTTACTCACCCACCCAATCCCCTCCAACAATCTCCCACTCAATCACTGGGGTGCAGTTACTCCCCAGGATAGTATTTAGGGACACTGAGACAGGAAGATACTGGGAGACATTGGAAGACGCGGAGACCCTAAGAAATGCAAGGAGATACAGGGAGACACTGTGACGAGCGAAGGGTGGCCACCACCACGCCCAGCTGCCCTTGTTCACACATCATTCACCGACTCACTCTTCATACGCTGACTCGCACATCATACACTCACTCACACTGCCACTGATTCGCTCACACATCATACACTCGCTCACACATCATTCACTAACTCACTCTTCATACGCCGAGTCGCACATCATACACTCACTCACTCTGCTGCTGACTCACTCACACATCATACACTGGGAGTGTCGTGCTGCCAGCTATGGCTGCAGTTGTTTTTGTCGTACGTGTTATGTATATCGTTTATTGTTAAATTTTAATTCACAGTTCCTATGATTACTGTTGTTACATTGTTTTTACAGCTTTATTTTGGTGATTCGAAAACATATGGTTAATCTAAATTGTCTTATGGTTGTTGTTGTTGGCTTGCACCGCATTGATTTCAACACAGCGTTTTAATAAGTTTTTTTTTGCGTGGAATATTTGCTGGTTTATTCCAGGATGTTTCTGTTACGCGTTGTCGCGTTAAGATGTTCTGTGTTCAAATTTTGTTTGTTGCGGTTGCACCCGACTTAAGAGCCGCATGGCTCACAGGGCTATACCTAATAAATGAAACTTGAAACTTGAAAACTTGTCTCCCCAGTGGCGAAGTTTACACACTCGGTACTCACTTGAGGCAGAGTCGACCTCGGGGTGGCACAGGACCGTATCAGATGATCGTCACTGGTGTAGGCCGCAAACGGGAATTGAACTCCGGTTTATAGCGCAGCGAGCGCCAACTGGTCCGCTGCCGCTCTCAGCGCAACACGCTCGGCGCGCTAACCACTGCGCCACCGCTCCCCTCGCAACACACACGGCGCGCTAACCACTGCGCCCACCGCTCCCCTCGCAACACACACGGCGCGCTAACCACTGCGCCCACCGCTCGCCTCGCAACACACACGGCGCGCCTAACCACTGCGCCCACCGCTCCCCTCGCAACACACACGGCGCGCCTAACCACTGCGCCCACCGCTGCCCTCGCAACACACACGGCGCGCTAACCACTGCGCCCACCGCTCCCCTCGCAACACACACGGCGCGCTAACCACTGCGCCCACCGCTCCCCTCGCAACACGCACGGCGCGCTAACCACTGCGCCCACCGCTCCCCACGCAACACACACGCTGAACTTTTTTGTTCCCGCGATTTTTTTTTAAACAGCAAAATAAAAAAAAATCACCCGAATTGCGAGGAAAGCGACTTCGTGCAACGCCCGAGGCTCGAGCTTCCCACACAGCAGTGCGGGGACTTTGCTCGTCACGCGAAGCAGCGCGGCCACCGGACCGTCGTGTTGAGAATTCCTCTGAATTTGGCCTCCTCCTTCTCCTAAGAGGGGGGGGGTGTCACGTGATGCGGGCGCGCGCATAGACGGACGTGACGTCACGTTATCGGGCGTTCGAGTTAAGTACTGTACGGCACTGTACTAATAACTTACTTAGATTAAACTAATTGTTATCGAATATATAATAATAATTTGGTAAAAATATGTTTTAGAATAATGCGGAGGGATCGTGAGGTCATGATCGTCAAGCGTTGTTTCTGGATAAAGATGTTAATGTTATATACTTAGCTCTTTCGGTAAAAAAATGTTAATGTTAGTTAATATACTATTTTAAACATGTTTTTTTTTACAATGCATCAAATATAAATTTAAAATAAGGAAAAAATATACACATTTTTAATGTAAAATTTTAAACGCATGACGTCACATCCGTCATCTTTAAAATCCTTATCCGGATGTGCCGTCAATGACCGAATGTGAACTTTTAATATATTTTTGGTGCACTGATACCATTCAATGAATCGTCAAGTTATGGCTATTTTAACGTAACGTTGCTCGAGTCTTACGACACCATCAAATTTAACAATACCCTCAAATAATTTTAAACACTTTCCTGACACCACATCCGTAAATCCGTAAACATTACAAATGACGTCATCAGCGTCCGTGACGTCACCCGTACCATTCAGGTTGACGTCAAACGGCAGAAAGGGGGAGGTGGGGGTCAGAGGGGAGTGGGGAGGGGTCGAGAGTGGTGGGGGGGGGTTGAGGATGTTGGGGGGGAGGGATCGAGAGGGTTGGGGGTGGAGTAGGGGGGAGGGGCGGGTTGGGGGAGGGGCGGGTTGGAGGGGGTAGAGTAGGGGGAGGGGCGGTCGGAGGGCTTAAGGCAATGGAGTAGAGAGGAAGGGGTTATGGGGGGAGGGCGTGGTTATATCGAATTGGTCACGCGGATCGGTGCGGCGCTCTGCCGATCTGTGCTGGGATTTACAATCGTGGCAGGGGTCCCAATGACGCCTGTATTGAGGTTTTGAATGCTCGTCCACTAGAGGCCGCTATAGCCCAGCGGGAGTGTGGCTTATGTCCCCCATGCCCACAATGCTTCCTCTTATATCTCTTATCTTAGCTCTATACAGTATATAAAAGGGAAATCTGTGATTATGTGTGTCTGTTAACAATGTTTAGCGTACTTCCCGACATGCAACAAACTTGAAATTTGCCATGTGGGTACTTTCCAGACTATACTCCATGCAAACATTATAAAAATAGACCTTTTTTTGGGGGGGGGGGGCTCAATAATGCATATTATTTGCACGGCAAGTGAGCTGTGACGTCACATCTGGAATGTCACCCGCGCATACGTAGTGGTTAGCGCGCTGCGCTACGAACCCGGCTACCTGAGTTGGATTCCCGCTCACGGCCACCACCGGTGACGATTATTTGAACCCGTCCTGCATCTCCCCTAGGTCGACTCAGCCTCAAACGAGTAACTGGTGTTGTGTGTGAACATCGCCACTGGGGGGACAAAGGCGGCCGGGCGTGGTGAATCCAAGTCCCGGGCGAAGCCGGGTAGTAAAGCTAGTTCTATATATAAAAGGGCAATTTGTGAATGTGTGTCTGTTCGAAATGTTTAGCATACTTCCCGACATGCAACAAACTTGAAATTTGGCATGTGGGTAGCTTCCAGACTGTACACATTGCAAAAAGTATAAAAATTGACTTTTGCATTTTGGAGGGCGGGGGGGGGGCGCAATAATGAATATATTTTGCACGGCAAGTGAGCGGTGACGTCACATCTGTGATGTCACCCGCATGCGGCAGCGTTACGCAGTGTGCCTGTTGACGTCACCCCCCCCACCCTCCATGGAGGCCGTGTATTAATCCAAGACAAGAATCCAAGTCTCAGGCAAAGCCGGGTAGTAAACCTAGTAGATTTAGATAGCAGCCCCTTATTCCGAGGCGCTGCTATACAATTGTAGTGGGTTCACGGGACACGGAGACTGTGGAGTAGAGGCAGCACTGTTTATTCAAGCTTAACAAGGGTTACACTGGAAGGGGTAACGACCCCTTCACCAGTACACATGCTGGGACACGCCCTAGGCTATCTCGCCTAATTCCTGTGCTCCCAGTTCCTCCGCTACAGGCGCTAGAGGAGGCTATCTGATCTGGCCCTGGTCAAGCACAGATCACGGCACCCCACCAACCAGACCGACCCTTAAAAGATCCAGGGTCTATCTAGCCGGCCTTCCTTCTTCACTGGTTCTTCATTCTTGGCCCCAACACACTGCCCCGAGCTCTCTGGCTCCCCGCCCTTTATACCCATACACCACTGAGGGAGGGGCTATAACGGACATGGTTGTAGCCACCATGGTGTGATTGTGTGTTACCTTCCCACAACACCCCTACACGATAATTATAAAGTTGTACATAAGATTATAGTGGTTAAAATCTATAATGGGGGTTTCAAAAGTAGGGTTATTAAATGTGGTGGTGGAAGTTATGGTGAGCAGAGAGCTGGTGGAACTGGTGAAGGAGGGGTAGTGATATGTGGTGGGGTAATGATAGGGGTGTGGTAAAGGTAGTGATTGGGATTTGGGAAGGGTTAGTGATATCGTTGGGGTAGTGGTAGTGATAGGGGTTGGGTGGGGGTAGTGATAGGTGTTTGGGTAGGGGTAGTGATAGGTTGGAGCGGAAATGGTACACGAAGTGCACGACTAATAACATTCGCAGCAAGTCATGCAGTACTTTTGCTCAGCAGGATACAAAATGTGACATCCATACACTTTAACCATCTTCCCATTTTGCATCTCCAATAATAGAGCCCAATCCCGATATTACAAGGGACAGTATCCAGAATGAAGAGGAAGAAAAAATTTGGATAGGTGGAGGTGGCACCTCTACCAGGCACATACACAGCTTTTGGAAAACAGATTCCTTCTCAGCCCCCCATGAAAACCTCTTGATGGGAAACTGGTGTACACATTGCCGGTAGTAGTACACAAACCCAAGGAAGCTGTACACTTCCAACACTGATGTTGGCACGGGCCACTCCCTTACACTCACTGTTTTCACAGGGTCAGTAGCAACATCTGTTCCACTGATGATATGGCCTAAATATCGGACAGATGATTGGAAAGGTGAGATATTGAGGGGTTAAGCTTCAAGTTCCCTCTGGACTGTTGTATATATTGGGTCTTGAAAAATAAAAATAAAACTAATAAAAATTAAATGAAAATAAAAAATGTGTAATTATCTGAAAATATGCAAATGTATGTAAAATGCAGATTATTTGTGCTAAATAAGAAGGTGTAATTGTATTACATTAAGCAGATGCAATTATGCTAATGTACGCAATTATGATAATTAGGCTCTGCCTTGTTGTTTAGGGTTGTATTATCAATCAGGATAATATAATGATTCTCGTTTTAACTTTTACTGATTATGTCTTCGTGTGTTTTGTCAAAATTCAGATCTCCCGGCAGGATACAGTTCTTATAATAAAGATTATTATGCATGAACTTAGGAAGGCACCACTCATACACTTCTGTGTTAAGCAACTTTAATTTCTAAACAAAAACATGACATATTCTTGGTTCTTTTGGTAAAGTCGCGTAGAAGAAAAACAATAAAATAATAAAAATATGAAACAATAAAATTCTTACGACGTTTCGACTGCAACACAAGCAATCATCATCAGGTGTGAAAACCACAGCAAGAAAATTTGAAAAAAGTGACGGTTTTTTCTTAACGTTAGCACCACGGACAGCGATTTTTGGCAGTTCAGTTGGACGAGTCCATCTATATTCGTGGTTCTTTCTGTAAAGTCACGTTGAAGGGAAACAATAAAATAATAATATATATAAAACAATAAAATTCTCACGATGTTTCGACTGCAACACAAGCAGTCATCATCAGGTGTGAAAACCAACGGCAAGAACATTTGAAAGAAATGGCGTATTGTGTTTATTTATTTATTTTTAAACGTTAGCTCCACGGATAGCAATTTGACAGTTTGTTTAGATGGACGAGTCCATCTGTGTTCGGAAAAGAGGAGGGGGGAGACGAAAAATTAATGTATGCTGTCTGAAGCCACTGTAATCATGAACAATCAATTAACACCCATAATGCTTTATCAAATCCTTCCAATGATTGCTAAGCCAGAATCCATCTTCTCGGTTGAAATTGTCTCTATGTTGTATATGTGGATAGCCTCATGAACGAATCTCTCATGGTAGCCAGATGGCTTGCAAAGAACCTCTGTCTTGGAGAAGTCAATGTCATGTGAGCCTACTGAATTATAACAGTGATCTGCCACGGCCGAGGTGTTGGTCCTACCGTGTTTAAGGTCTGCTTTGTGTTCACGAATGCGGTCCGAGACATGTCGTTTGGTTTCTCCAATGTAACTACTACCACAGAGGCAACTTAGTTTGTAGACACCAGGGTAATGTATGTCCGGAATCACATCTTTTACAGACGGAACCAGATCACGGATTTTATGTAATGTGTTGAAACGAACCTGGATCTTGTGTTTATTCAAGATTTTGGAGATCTTTTTTTGTGATCCCCGCAATGTAGGGTAAAGTGATGGTTTTGAAAGGCTCCTCAAGAGGGTCATTCTTCATGGTTTGAGTGATAGCTTTGCGGATAGTATAGTCAAGCACGTACACCTAGCTCTTAAACACGGTAGGACCATCGC